TTCTCTGTCAATATCCGTCTATCAGTAAGAAAGAGATATGAATTTATCAGAGCTTTAGTTTTTTCCAAAAAGTTTTAGATTTTAGGTTTATTGCTGTGGAGAATAAGCAAGCTGAAAGCACAGAAAATTACATCAGAAACCTGAAACAAATCAAGCATGTGTTGAAGAAAAATCTTCATCAGGGTCCAGTCCAAGCTGGGAATAAACAAAATGGAGACTGCTTTAGAAAGAAGGTTGTATTTTACTGAAGAGCAGAACCAGACAGAAGTGTGGCTCTGGGAAAACTGACCACATTTTCTGGGAGTGATGGGTTTTTATACCTTCTGGGGCTCTTTTTCTGTTCCTGTATGAGGCTTTGTATTTTCTGTGTCATGTACTTTGACCTAAGTCTGAGTGTGCCCTTTTGGTATTGGTGGGTTAATCCTATTATGTGCCCAAAGGTCATGTTTTTTAGAATTTGGGTGGGGTATATAATTTTTAGAAGCATTTGTCTTCCTAATCTGATCAGTTTCTTCTAACTTCCTGGCTCCAACCTTCCTGAATGGATTATTACATCTGCATTTCTAAAAGCTGATTTCTGCTGAGTTTCTGCTTGGACTATTAAGAAAAAATGGGCTTGCTTTTCTGCCTTTAAGATCCTTTTCTGCCTTTTTAATATTTCCCAAAATATTTCTTTCTCTGGATTCTTCCCACACATGTTAGACAGTTAGAACAATTAACCAGTGGAACAACCTGCCTCCAGAAGCGGTGAATGCTCCAACACTGGAAGTTTTTAAGACGAGATTGGACAGCCATTTGTCCGAAATGGTATAGGGTTTCCTGCCTGAGCAGGGGGTTGGACTAGATGACCTCCAAAGTCCCTTCCAACTTTACTATTATTGTTATCATATGTATCCAGGGTCTTCCAAACACTGTCTTAATATACAGAAAATTCCCAGTAAGAGGATAATGAATGGAAATTAAATAGATCAATTGAATATGTATTTATGTAACTAAAACAGACTTGTAAGTTTAATTTGAATATAATAAACAAGACTTAATCTTTTGCTATTCTCCCTGATCAATAAAGATTATATATTTTCATTAAGGTTCCTTATAGCAATACTGAGAAAATCAACCCTGACTGTTCTTTGGAAGGACTGATACTGAAGTTGAAGCTTTATTTCTTCAACACTAAATGAGAAGAGAGGATTCATTGAAAAAAGCCCTGGTGTTGGGAAAGATTGAAGGCAAAAGGTGAAGGGGACAGCAGAGGATGAGGTTGTTAGATAGTGCCATTGACATAGTGGGCATGGGTTTTGGCAGTTCAGGAAGACAGGGGAGTTTGGCATGCTGTGGTTCATGGGATCGCAGAGAGTCAGGCGCAACATAGTGACTAAACAACAACATAGCTAGCATATTCATGTTGACTGTTCCATAAATATATTAATGTCATATCAGTTTCATTTGAACTTCAGTCTTTTCCAGATGAGGAACATAGTCAGAGAGCTGAGGACAAGCCTATACACTTGGCATCATGTGCAAGAAAATCCAGTCTAAAAAAAAGAAAAAGAGGAGTAATTCTAATGCTGCTGCTCTGGAATACAACTTAGAATAGGGATTAAACCTACATTTGTTTATCTACTGCATGCTGGTTGGGGAATTCTGAGAGTTGGTCCACACATCGTCATATTGCCAAGAAACACTGATCTAATGTATGGCAGGCCATGAAGTGGAACAAAATCTTGCTCCTTAGACTCAGTTTTCTGGGAAGCCAATTTTCCATTCCATTCCATTTGTGAGAGAAATGTTAACAGCTTTATTACAATATTAATGAAAGATATTGTAACATAGAACAGCGGTCCACAGCCTGGATCCTTTTCCTGAATACCCAGAATTGGTAGCCTTCAGAGCTATTGCTGGGAATTCTGGGAATTGGCCTCCACATCAGGAAGGTCTCCAGATGGATGAATTAATGCCACCAATGAGGTCAAAGATTACTTATGCTGAACTGAACAAAGTTGGAATGTTAACTTTTTTATTTGCCTGTTTCAATGGATACTTCCATATGGAGTGATTTCTGATCTACAACTCCTCCAGGGCTTTTTAAAGTTGGCCATGGAATTGTCTTTCCCGCGTTTTCAGTAACAATTTACTCATTTCCTACCCATAAGACCAGGGAAAAATCTACAATTCAACAATACAAACAGTTCTGTGCATAATAAATAATGAAAATAGATATGAAGAAGAAAAGGTAAGACTAAGAAAAGTCTTGATCATGTGTTACCCATATTGTTTGATCTCTCCTTTCTATCTGTACAAAGGGAATTCAAAGATCAGAGTTAACACATTTCTTTAAGCCAACTATTAAGACTATAATGCCCATACATCCTTCGAAAATAACAAGATCATCTTCTTTGTTACAGTTCAATCACCATATATTGTTGTTGTTTAGTTTAAGCCATCTTTTGTGTGTTGTCCTTGCCATTGTATTGTTTTTTGTCCTAGATGTTTTTACTTGTGAACCACCTAGAATCACTGGGATTCAGGCAAAGTAAAAAACTGATAATTATCCCAAATTCTTCATAAACTGTAAAATTCCAGATATAATTTAATGGCATTTTAGAATATTTAAACCTTAATTTACTCATGACAAACTGGAAATATTGAGAACAGCAGAGAATAATCCAGACCAAACGGACCAATGGGACAGAACCAAAAGTAAAGAAATCATGTATTGGTAATCCTATAGCATACACACACACCCAAAGCTATCAGAAGGAGAATTAGACCCAGCGATTCTCTAATAGGTATTTTGAAATTGAGTAAGAAGATGAAGATCAGGCTCGTTAATAAAACCGCACATCAAGTCTCTTAAAGTCCTAATTCAGATTTCAGAAAGCCAGGTAAACCCTAAGCAAATGCTTCACCCTGCAGGAACTCCACCATTGCAAATCCCGAAACAGAAGTTTTATAGTTTGAGTAGGAAAATAATCAATTTGTTTACAGTAAACATGATGGCAGAGCCACAGAGCAAAATCTCTGTAGGAAAGTATCCTGTATATATTTTTTTAATTTTTATATATACATATACATACATACATACATACATACATATATATATTTGATTACTGAAAATATTTCAGATCTTAAACTTTATACATCCTATTTACTATTCAACAGCAGCCGATAGAATAAAACGGCTATTATGCAAGAAAATGATGGTGGGTGGGGTATATTCATCCTGCAACTGACTCTGGTTGCCATCTCTGTCTTAGCTGTCAAGGGGATACAAAGAGTTTTAGCTTGCATCTTGGTAACCAGGCAAGTTCATGGGACAGGATTTACCCTGATCCCAGGTCATCAATGAACACATGTTTTTAAAACATTGCTGCACAATAGTTGAAAATGAGCTAGATTTTATTTAGTGTTTGGCACCTACAGAGGTCGTGCGATGAGGCAGGTGACTGTGGCATACTATATTCCATATTATCGGATCCAGTTAAAATGTATGCCATTGTATTTTAGATTAACTGCAGTTTCTGAACTGCCTTCAAAGTCTTACCGATGCTTAGTGAATTGCTATAGCCTAAACAAAACATTACCAGTATATGGATAACTATGCAGACAGCATTACAAATAAAAGCTGTGTCTGACAGTGTGCAACATAGCTTCTGTGGCATCTGATTCACTAAATTTTAAGCAGTCTCAACAGAAATTGGGATTCTAGTCAGATCTAATTAGTTGTAGAAGAAGCTACTCCTTTATGTTACTGTTAACTGTCTTTGAAGTATTTCTGAAGTCTGAAAAATGTCCTTTTGAGGTAAATGTGAACATATTCTTTGCTCTGTTTTGTCTCTGCGTGGGCAGTCCTGAGTACTGGTATGACCAGTTGATACCAAAGCAAATTAATTTGGTGGAGAACTGACATTTTCTCTTTAGCAATAGGGAAAGGCTGTCTTTCTCAAATTCCTGGAACGAGTCAAAACCCAAATATTGAGAAAAAAGCAGTCTTAACCTGCATTGATTGAAGCATGGTTTGGTTGCACAAATTAATTGATTCTTACTTATCTCAACTAGCAGTGGTGTGATTCTAATCAAAGGAGAATGTATATGTACATAAGGAATAGAACCAACTTCTTAACCCATTTATACAGCTATTTTCAGTGCTATGATTTTGGGGGTTATGTTTGTGATTAAGCTAAAACAGGTGCCTCCCTATGCTCGAAGCATTTATTTTATTCCGATCATGCTGCCCAAACAGGCCAAAACTTCCCTCCATTTTATGATATCACCAAGTTACTATCTCTATTCTAAACTGCTTCTAGACCCAAAATATCATGTATCCTGTGGTTCGGTTCAGTGAAGTGGAGACCCTAAGGAAGAGTTTTATGTGCGGTGTTGTTTTTATTCATTTTAATTTTCCTTCCTTCAGTTGTTTTGAATTCATTCATTAGATATTTTTTAATCCCACCTTTATTACTTATAAATTATTCAAGGCAGAGAGCCTATTTTCCCCACTTCAACAATTCTCGGAGGTGAGTTGGGCTGAGAGGAATGACTGGCTCAAAGTCACCAAGCCGGCTTTCATGCCTAAGGCAGGACTCACAGTCTCCTGGTTTCTAACCTAGGGTCTTAATTACTACATTAGCTTGGGTATGTTTATGTTCATTTTATTTCTGATTTATTTTACTGTTCCTCAGCTTAATTAGCCTGGGGCCTTTGATTGTGCCATTTATAAACTTTTTTCCAGTGCTTTCTACCTGATTTTGGGATTGCTCCTACTTGAATATTATCCTGTGAGGTACCTACCAGTTTGCAAGATGCTGTCAGAATCTGCTGTCTATTTCTTATTCGTTGATCTATTTTTTTTTAAATATATATATATCACCACTTAGTGTTTCTATTTTTGAATTTCAAAGGAAAGTATTAAAAGGATATCTTAATGCTAATCAGCTTTTCCTCCTCTCAGTAAGAAATAATCCCCTTTGACATCCGGCTTGCATTTATAATGGTTACAGTGTCCCGTGGTCACGTGATCATCACCTGCAATCTTTTCTGCCAGCTTCACACAAGCAAAGTCAGTGGGGAAACTGACAGGGAAAGTCAAAACTGCTCTGGTAAGTCACTCCCACTCATGACTTTTTTTCTGTTGAGGGGTCCCCAGCAGCCAGCCAAGTGTGGGCCTGGAGCAAGCAGGTGCACTCGCACCATATTGCCTACCCCCAGGCTTGCCACACTCACACTGAGCATCCCGCCATGCCACAAAACTCCACTCCCCTGCTAGCCTGCTTGAGAGATGCCTAAGGTAAAGCTTGTTGTGACCAGGACTTACAGCTTCCTGCTGGCTTCCCCATTGTCTTTGCTTGTTAGAAGATGGCAGGAAGTTACAAGTCCCATCAAGTGAATTTCTCGTGTAATGACCTCTGATCCTTGCTTAACAATGGCTATAGGGACTGCTAGGATTGCTATCACTAAGCAGTGCGGTCATATGATGTGTGCTTTACAACTGCATTATTTAATAACAGAAACTCTGGTCCCATTACTTTTTGTTAAGTGAGGACTATTGGTATGTTCAGAGTCCATCCACTGTAACAGCCCGCAAAATAAAAGTGGTTAGGTTTATACAATGCAATAAGAGCTGAAAGCCACATGGGAGATAATAAAAATGAAGGGGAACCTATGAATAAATTCTGTTCCATGTAGTGTTGGATGAGATTTTACAGTTAGTCCTTTATATGTAAAATACTATTATGCACATATCATCGATGGTGAATATAGCCTGTGATTCGGGGGATGTTGATAGGCAGTATTGCCATTCATACAAAAAATAGAAGTTGTAAAATGCTTAGTTGGCTTTTACTCACAGATTAAGTGCCCCAGAGGAAGGGGAAAATCCACTCTTGTTTCTGGTTTATTTGCAAACCGGGTCAGACGCCTTTGATTAGGTCTCAGCTGGTGCATAATTTTAATCTTGACAGATTGAGCCTAAGCAGGAGGCTTTCCCAGCTCAGCCAAAGAGGGATGGAAGGGAGGAATGAGGCATAAAAGCTAATTCCAGTTCACAAACTGAACAGCGGTGCTGAATAAACGTGCAACTGTTAATAAATAGCTATTTCAAATATTTACAAAAGACTGGTGAGAAAAAAAAAGAAATTGGCATCCCAGGCAGCTGTTCCAGGTGGAAACTATTAAAAATAAACATGAAAAATAGTATTTGTGAGTAATATATCTGTCAAACATGCATGAACTCAGAAGAGAAAATGAGTTTGGAGAAGACTGAGTCTCATATAGCGGTGGACCATGTTATCAATAAGATTATTTCTGGATTTTGCTTTGTTGTTTCTCCACACTAGTGGAATATGAGGAACCAGCTTCAACTGCAGTTCACCGGTCTGCTTTCACTGGATGTATTACTGAAGGGAGGTGAAAGCAGGCACTTCAGAAAAATACTTGTCACACGCTAGTGTGTTTTTCAAGAAATTCATATAGAATTATTAGTTCTCTTCAGCATCAACATGCTGAAATATTGCCACACACTGGTTTGTGAAGTAATTGAGATTAATTAAATTATAGATATGAACTAAAGTGTATGCAAAGGGAGAATGGTCTGTACTAGGGGTTGCCAAGTTTGAAGACCCCTGGGAGCTATTTTCATGAAGCTAAGCTAAGTACTAAACTAGCCTGTGATTTATCCATCTGTTACATTAGCAGTAGTAAAGGTTATTTATATTCTGGGATTGTAATCTGAACCTAGATTTTCTAAAATGAATGAAGTAGGTAGTCCTTGATTTATGATCACAATTGGACCAGAATTTTGGTTGCTAAATGATGTAGTCATTAAGCAAGTCATTGTGTGACCAGACCCAATTTTAGAACCATGATTATCATGGTTACGTAAATTGTCATGGTCATTACACAAATCACATGATTACTAAGCAAATCCAGCTTCTGCAGTTGACTTTGCTTTTTGGAGTGGGAAAGTTGCACATTGCAATCATTTGACTACTAGATGCTGCAGTTGCCATAAATGTGAGTCAGTTGCCAAGTGCCAAAATTGCAATTGTGATTGTGAGGATGGTGTGACTGTCCTAACTTTGGGTTATAAGTCACTTTTTCCAAGGCCATCATATCTTTGAACTGTCATTAAACAAATGGTTATAAGTCAAGAACTATATGTAATGTATAACTATCTTCATGAAGTTGGTTTGTCCATTCATGTACTCACCCACTCCCCTTTTATAACTCTGTAATCCCTTAATTTGGGGTAGAGCCAGGTGACTGGATGGAGCTGAGCATTTACTGGCCAGATGCCCTTCCTGACACCATGCAGGTTGGCAGCAGATTTTTTTTTCTTTGTGCCCTAAGAGAGAAATATCTGCTATTTAGGATTGAGCTTTCAACCTTCTTAGTGGAAGAAGGGCCACTACGCTGCTCTTGGGAGTCCTAACACTAAATAGTGTAATTTTTTTAATTGAACTAATCAACATGCAAAATGTATTTTGTTTCTTAGAGGCTAGTGCTCCCATTGCTTAATAATCATTCTCAGTTCATGATTTGTTTTTTTTCTTTATTTCTCTTTTTTCTAAAATTGGTATATTAAGATGTAAAAAAAATAACATGTAAAACATATGTAATAAAGACTTTGTAGCTTTTTAAAAATAAATTGTTATACCTCTCCCAATTACTCATTAGTATTGGAACTGTGCCTGCTGTTTACATGATTAGATGAGGAATGCTGAGGTACCTATAACTGATTTGTAATAACTGCTGAATCTACCAGTTCTATTCAATTTTCAATGTTCCCTCCTCCTCTCTCCACACACACACACACACACACACACCCGCCACTTCCTACATAGTCAGTGGAGAAAGTGCCAGGAAATCATGATTATGTGAGGTCCTTGTTTAATGACAATCTCTCTTAAGAACGGCAACTGGGACTACCAGAACTACCATCATTCAGCAACACAGTCACATGACACTATTCTTTATGACCCTTTCAAACCATGAAATTGCAACCTTGGCTTCTCTTGCTTTTATTAGACTTTGCATTTCAATTTTTAAGACATTCCAGTTTTTCTTCCTTTCATTTCTTTTAATGTACATGTTGCATTTAGTTGTACCACTTTCCAAAGAGTTTGTTTTTATGTCTCCAGCTGCTTCCAAGGAGCCATTGTGCTGAATAAGCACTTAGTTCAGTGTGTCCTTGATAAAATTAATGAAAGCATCTGCAGAAGTGGCAACAGCAGCTGCAGCGCCTTCTGGAAGCCAACTTCTGCTTAACATTGTAATGAAAGGAATAGTTTTGTGCTGGAAACGAATGTTGACTTACTTGTAGCAAAAAAAAAAAGGGGGGGGGACATTGCACCTGCCCTTGCTAGTCTAACTGTGTGGTTTGTTGATTATATCCTCTTGTTAGTGCCATTGTCGCTGGCAAAATGAGGGTGATGTCATTGTTATGGAGCTCACTTGGCATCTTTTAAGCTGACAAATAATTTGCCTGCTAATGCCTCTCACTCCCTTCCCAGTGAAGCATATGCCTTCTTTTAGAAGCAGAAAAATATCCAGCTCCCAAAAGTGGTTGAATTGTGAAGATGCAGGAAACTGAAAGGGACTGATCTGTGGGATCACAATGTACACAGTAATGAAACCCAGTGCTTCATATATGTAGGACCCATCCAAGAGATCACATACGAAGGGAGAGCTATTGCAATGCCATCTGTTATTTTTCTCATTCAGTTCTCTGTTAATCCAGATTGTTTCTGAATATCACATGTCTGCTCAACCCTACTAGAAATTATGAAGGCAGCAAGGCTGCTAGGTATTAGACCTGTGTCTGTATTTTATCTGAACTGCAAAGAAGATGACTAATTATATTTAGCCTTGTCCATCATTGTACCACAGTGCTGCATCTTGTATTTGTGCAGAGACTCTTAGAAAGTCTGGATCTTGTAACTATTCTTGTAAATGTTGTGTTCAGGGATAAATGATCTTTGATTGGGCTGCCTTGAGGCACTACTTCATAAATGTTTCTGTAGTTTCCGTTACACTTCCTCATCTGATAGTGAATATTTACAAAAATCTCAGCATTGTGATCAGATCAATAATTTCAATATATCTTTTTCAGATTGTATTAATTGAAGAAGGAAGCAGGGAAGGAAGAAATGATAGTTTAACATTCCTCAGAAGAGGTAGTCTCTTCATTTGTTTCACATATATATAATTATGGGGCCAAATAAAAATTTAAGTGCATTGAGGGGAAAAAAACAGCTTCGTGGTAGGCTGCTTGCTGTGACTTACCTGTTATATCTGCCTTACCTGCAGATAAACCTCAGTCTTCACAAATGTGATATATTTAGAATTCACTGCAGAAATACAGACAGCATGAAAGAAAGGTTATGAGGATGTGGTTAACATTTCTAACCCATTGAATCTACACCAATTGCAAAAAGATTTAACTGTATCTATTAAGGAAGTAGCTGGGACATTTATGATGTCATAAGCAGCAATAACTAATTCAGAAAAAAAATGAAAAATCTTAAAAGTGCATTGTTCTCAGCCTCTAAAATCTAATGACCTTAATCTTGTTTTTCATCTGTCACATCCATGTAATCTTACCATATCATAAAAGCAAATTAAAATCACGAAACCAGGCAACTCCAGATTGCTATTTTAAAATACCTTGAATATAAATTATCCAAATAATTCAGATATAAAACAGTTTCCAGTGCATCTCCATAAGAGTAGACCAGCATAACCCAGCAAAGGTAGATTGGTAATTGTGGTAGCTGCATTTCACTCTGAAGGTCATAAACTGTGTAAGTTACGTATACTTCCTTAAAAAGTCTGTCCATGTCCCTTTTCCAAGAAAAATCTTTAAACTGATTTCGGTGCTGTGTTTTGCTTTACTCTTAAGTTGCTAGCCTGAATCTGCAATAAGTATCTTTCTTCCAGTGTAAATCATCATTATCCCAAAATACAGTGGATCACCAAGTCATATTCACCATCTCCAGGTAAATCTTGCTGATCTTGCATGAGGTGGAAGTTAAGCAGGGTCAGGTCTGCTTAATACATGGATGAGAAATCTCCAGAGAATACCAGGTTGTAGACTGTATTG